GAAATAGCATACCTGAAAGCAACCTGCCATTTAAGTTCCTGGTTATGTCCTTTTGAGAAACAATGATTTATTGGTAAAAACTAATATGTTTCAACACTTTTGCACTTGGATTTTTGCTAACAAATTAGTAAAAATGTGGTTTTCACTACTGCAAGCATTAGAAAACTTTATTCCTTTCCAGACACACAGTAAAGTGCAACATTTTGACTTTTGTTGGATTAAATATTAAGATAAAGTTAAATTATTTATATAGCCCAAAATCATAAATGATAAATTTACCTCAAAGGGTTTTACAATCTGTACAACAACATATGACAGCACAAGTGTTAATAAAAGCTCTTTTTCCATTTTTTTTCCATCTTTGCATCCACAGACAGGCCTCACTGATGAGCAGCTGAAGTCTCTGGAGAGCATATTTGAAGACACGTACAAAAAAAAGTATCCCATTGTGGGTTACACAGCATCACGCATCCTCACCGAGGATGGAAGTCCCAACAAAGACTTCAAACCAGAGGATCAGCCTAATTTTCAAATCAAAGATGAGTTTTAATCTCATTTACCTTTTTGTAAAATGTAGTTGTGAGAAAGTCTTGTTATGGAGGACTTTGTTAGCTTTTTGAATTCTTTCTCTTTACTTGACCAGAATCAGAACCTAATTTATTTGAACTAAGGTTCACATGCTTCTTTATTATATGACATAGCTTTAATGTACCTTTTTTATGTCATGAGTAGAAGAAGTCTGTTTTGATAAACTTCAGGGAATGGAGAATAAAATGATGCAGATTTTTAATACACTACACTTGTGTATCATATTTGACCACGACTGGCTTCCAAACTAGTTGTGATGACACGTGAAACTCAGATTTAAGGTGAGCAAAGAAACTTTCAAAAATGAAGTAATAATAAGTAAACGTACATTTTTGAATGGAGGGGGACTTTAATTGTTTTTTTGGTTTTTTTACCTCTAGCCTCTACATACAGTTGCAGTGCATTATATGTGGTTACCGTGAGCCTTTGTCAGAGCAATAAGAACAAATAAACTTAATGAACACAGGAACATTATTAGATTTATTTCACAGAAAGCCATACATGTCAAATTAAATGCCATTTAGCGATTAAGAAAGGGGAGAGTGAGCTGACAGACCAGATAACTAGCTAAACATCAGCACTCACATTTCCTTGAATGTGATTTTTGTAGGATTCTAACAGTCTTTCTCATCATTGATCGTGAAGAATTGCTTAATCGTTCAGTCTGTACAATATCGCAAAATTGCCCAGCGCAGTTTCCCTTAACTCGGTAATGTCTACAGATCTCTGTCTCTATTTGTCCAAACCCCAACGTATTCTATATACAGTGATTTAAAGGGAAGAAAAGTAGAAAAATGGCACATGTGAGAAGCTGGAGCCATAAAATATCAGGCCTTGAGTCTTTCTAAACAACTTTTTATTATTATCAAAATTGTTGCCAATTAATTTTCGGTTTACTGAATCTTCTATTAATTGTTATAGCGCTAGATTTTAGTATAAAATGTAGGCATTAAATGCATTATCCACTAGAGTATGTATGTATGTATGTATGTATGTATGAAATTAAAAAACACTGAATGTTTACATGATTATAATCAGTTCATTTGTTTTGTGCCTGATTTTGTTGTTGTACAATTATCATTAAAGTCTGTAAATCTCAAGCTTCTTAGAGTTTGCTTCACTTGACTTTTACCACAAGAACATGGTACATGGATGTTATCTTGATATGGTCTCTTTATGACAGCCCATGACTCACTCATGTCACCTCAACAAACAGGCAACATAAATAGTATGTCCGAACCTATATAGCTTCACATGGTCTGATCAAAGGTCACAGCAGTTTAGGTGCTGAGACAGGGAATTGTCTTTGGGTGGAGCTGTGTGTCTTGCCATGCCAGGTGGTCACGGCGGAGGTAAGTCTGTCAGTTTGTGTGATAGTAACCAAGTTGAACCTCCTACGTCACTGTGAGTGATCTACAGCCGAGTTCAAAGGACACAAGCCCTGCCCTTGAGTCTGCCAGCGAGAGCTGAGCTGCGTTCTTTATCAGGTGGAGGTTCTGCTCGGAGCCGGTCACTGCAGACTCGGTCAGCCTCGGAAACACATTCTTCTGCTGGAGCTCACCTACCAACTGGAGCCAAGATGCCCAAAACAGTAAGACTTTTCTAGACAAGAGAATTAAATGCGTCACTGACATGTCTCTTCCTGGTCCAAGTTTGAAAGAGGGGGAGGGTGGGTTTATAGATCCACCTATAATGGTTGTTGAAATATTTATCCCTATATACTTTTGGAGAAAGAGCATTGAGATTAAATCAAATTTAACTGTAAATCATGTATGTTTTAGTCACATGTTTTTTCTGTGTTCGAGCTTGTGACTTATTTCTAAGAGACATCTATCCTTCTTGGCATTTACTCATTAACCAAATGTAGAGTTTGACCCATGCTGCACACATTCCTAGCCGAAAGAAAGGCTACTAAAATGCTACTTCATGGCTAAAGCTGGGGTGACTGGAGTGGTTTGTAAATGTCAAGAGCTGTCAGCATAATCAGGTTTCCATCCCAAACAAAAGAAACCACAATGTTTTATTTGCTGTAAGTCCTAAATGCACTCAGCTAGAGTTGCTTAAGTATTTAGCATCAGTCAGAAGGAAAACTGATAAGAAAGGCCGGCCTGTGCATTACGTCTGCAACTCTGTGCTTATATTGACACTCCAAGGAGAAATTATTAAGAGGTCATGCTGACATCTGCCTCAACTTGATTGACATTCAACTAACTTGACATCAAACTAATTTCTGAGTGTTGGTAGCAGGTATTGCTTGTGTTCTGGAAAATACTGAAAACATGATTTAAGAGTTGACGGGCTTAGCTTTTAAAAGTTAAATAGGAAAGTGAGAGTTTTGTGGATTCCAAAAAATACAATCAAAGTATAAACAATTCAAAAACCCCTCCGAAGTTTAATGCAGCAACATACTGATTGCTGCTTGCATTGTGGTGATTTTCACAGTCAATGATTTGAGAAAGGATGGGCCAATGTAGCCAGCAGGAATGCATCAGTTAAGAAGCTATCTTACGCATGTCATCATGGAAGTGGAAACAGTTGAGAAACATATTAGAGATTTGATAAATAAATGTTCCAGCTTTCCAGGTTTATCTTTATGACACCCGGGGTGTGCTCTAATTTAACTTCATAAAATGATTGTGTAACTACTACAAGCCCAACCTGGCCTGCAGGCCGAAATCATGCAGTATGTTAAGCTTTTTTGGAAAAAACTAAGAATAGCCTTTTTCTTTCTTGTGGGAAAAGCATTCTAGAAAGACTTGAAAGTCAGATTTATTTGTTAGTTTAATTGCCTCTTGTTATAAAAACCTTACTAACAATAGCAAAGTCTGAAGGAAACTTGGCATGCAGTGAGTATTTTGATATTTAATCTTCGTATGTGCAACCTTGTCGCACCTCGCAAGGGCAGTCCAAAGTCTAATGAGATAGTGAGCAATTATAGTTTATGAACAATCCACTTCACAGCTCCACATTAAATACATCCTTTACACAGCTGAATATATTATTTATGATTGTTACGATAAAAGAAGTTGCGTTTTATAATTTAACCATCAAAATCAAAAGTTCCCAAATTAAGATGCAATATTTCTATAAAATGAAAGATGTGATCTTACAGAAACATGCACAAGTATGAGAAATGCAGGACTGATGGATTCAGATTTATATCAGGGAGAACTGCTAAATGCTCGGGCCGAATGGAAATAGGAGGGTTTGTAGAAAAAGAAAAACTTTAGTCATCATATGACTAAATTACCTTTTTGCTGCAGGTCAATGTTCGCGTCACCACTATGGACGCAGAGCTGGAGTTTTCATTCCACCCCAACACCACAGGGAAGCAGCTTTTTGACCAGGTCTGTATGTTACAGTATGAAAAGCACAAGAAGCGTGTACGTGAGGATCATAGTTGTCCTAGCTGGGACCTTGGGAACTCCAATCTTTCATCTGATAAAGTTCTGTTCATGGCTAACCATGACCCTATCTGATTCTGTTGTATGCAGTGGTGGAAGAAGTATTCAGATATTTTATTTAAGTGAAAGTAGCAATACAGCAGCGTACAGATACTTCATTACTTAAAGTAAAAGCACTCGCACTTTAAGTATTAGCAGTATTTGCATGTAGACAAATGGCCCCTGTTAATATATTATTGGATCATTGTTACTGCCGAATTAATATGAATGTAGCATTTATTGTTGTAGTTGGTCAAGCAATTTTGTGTAGTTTAATCCATAACAGTGTGTCTTTTATAAGCTGATCATATGTTTTGAATGTAAAATCTTCATCAGCAAAGTAAGTGGAGTAAAAAGTGTAATATTTCCCTCTCAAATATCGTGAAACATGTATAAACTACCATCAAATTAAAGCGTTAAATAAAGTTTATGTACGTCGAAATTGTACAGAACTTGAGTAAATGTACTTCTATAACATTTCCTAATTATATCAAAGAGCATTTGTTTCAGAGTAGTAGCATTCCCAGCTATTTACAGACACTCCCAGTACTTGAATTATTTATTGATTATACTTTATCTAAATGTATCCTGTTGGTAAAATCAGATTGTATCATAGCATAGTGGAAACAAGTTTAAAAAAATGCAATTTATCTGTAGAAAATGTACAGTGCACGCAGCTAATTACACATTTCCTTTGTCAAGCCAAAACTGCAAAACTCCAGTCATGCTGACTTTCAAACGGTCAAAGTCATGTTTTTAAATTACGGATGGTTTTGTGTCCCTTCTCCTTTGTTAGAAAAACTCAAAAATGCACCATTTTCCCTGGAGCCTGCTGTAGCGTGTATAATTACCTAAACCTTTGTACTTGACAGGAAGTCAGCTCAGTGATTAAGTATATTCACTACCTCAGATACTGTTAGTTGTTTAGAGAGACTGGTGCACACTAGTGTATCTATAGTTTTTGCATAATCCTGCTTTGTGCTGCAAATGACAGCTTGTTCAGTGGTTGTTTCTTCATGGCCAGACAATTACAAGTGTGACAAATAAAGAAAATTAAGGAAGAAATGAAGGAGAGGATGTGGAGATCCTCGGTCATCGTGTCTTGGTTCCTCTCTGTGTCTCAGGTTGCCAGGACCATTGGACTACGTGAGATTTGGTACTTCGGGCTGCAGTTTGTTGACGCCAAAGGGTTCATCACATGGCTGAGCTTCGAAAAGAAGGTTAATCTGTGCTTTTAGATGAGTGTGATGCAAACTGACACATTGTTTTGTTCTTGTTCATCATCCTGCTCTTTTAACCTGATACCTACTCCAATGTACCTTGAAGGATTTGATCTTACACTGTTTATACTCTACTCTGTCCTTCTCTTCTTATCTGTACCATATTCTACTTCACACTATTTTACTGTAATGTATTCTTTAACTTTATTTTATTTGCTGATCCACTCTTCTTAACACTATCCTGATATAAATGAACAAACTTAAGCTTACTTTATTCCTTTAACTAAACTCTGTTTTAAATTAACTCAATTCCACTCTGTCCTACTCTTCTGTCTTCTACTTAACTGGATTCTCTTTTACTTTACTCTACTGCAATGTTTTAAAAAGCAAAGTAGTTATTTGACAACATTACTTATATAAAAAGTAAATGTTATAATTTGTCTCCATACAAAACATAATCCTGGAATTGTTCATGTTCAGGTTTGGCTTCTTTTCTCACTAGTTTTGGTCAAGTTAGCATTTGTACTACTACTACTTGGAGTGATAGAGGCTGGCATTTCAGCCATTTTTAAAAATGATTTTCAGCTATCTATCTCAGCCTTCTTGCTTGCGTCCTAAGTGTTTTATTTTATTTATTTTTTACAAACTATCAAGCTTCAGCATGTGATGTCAGGTGCTACAGCTGACTCAGGATGGTGGGATGTGGGCCATTGGCAGCCAGTTTGTCGTAGCTGATAGTGGATATTATGAGCATAAATATATTAAACATAGATGCACCAATTTGCTTCTTTTTCCCCTAAACACAAATATGTGGATATACATATATACTTTAGCTGCTCTGCAATCTTTCCTGGAACCTCCTATCAACACTTGCAAGTTGACCACGGTCAGGAAGATCTTTTTTCTAACTCGATGTATATTGGCTCCTACTGGTATGAATACTACTCTAATATATTCTAATACAAGTTAAAACACTTTGTCTTACTCTGTCCTGTCAAAACTTTCCTAATTAAATACTCTATCCTGCTCCTCTCTACCTAACTGCACCGTGTTCTATATTAAACCCCTCTGTACTATATTCTAGGGTATATTATACTCTCTTTTCTTCTGTACTAGGCCATATTACTAATCATAGGTGTCACATACACTGGAGACCACATTTTGAAATTGCTGATTTGGTCCCCATCACTTTTTTAAAGCATAATTTGTTTTTAAAAAACGTGCTAATATATTGCTTGGCATTAAATAACAAATGAAAATTCTTTGAGAAAGGTTTATTTGCACATTAAGAAAACATGCAATGCAATTAAAATATAGAAGAAACAGATGTTAATTTTCCAAAAAAAGTAACTTAACCTTAAAAAAACCAAGCTACTGATTATAAAATGCCCCAAAGACGTGCATGCATCCATCAGTAACTTTAACAACTTCTTAACA